CCCCAGAGTTTAGATCCTAGTGGCTTGGGAAACTCCATCGTGGCAAAGGTTGCAGAAACATTCTAGCACAGTGTAGATGTTACATGTTGCAGCTGTTGGCGCTGAGAGCTGCCAACATAGCCGGCAAGTACGGATTGGGCCCTGCCATCTACATGAAAGGTTCATCTGCACATGCACGCAACTAGGGCCAGGACTGTGAGGCATGCAGGGGTCTGAGTACTTGAGACCAACACTGTCTACCTGAGCCTGCCTTCCTCAGCACATGATGACAAACAACAAGCCTTTCTCATGTTCAGATGTTTCAGACCCCCACAAACATTTTCAACCTCGTAACCCCACGACGCCCTAGCTTAAGTTATGTGGACTCCACACTCCCCTCCCTGATCACTCCGGCAAGCAGACCAGAAAATGCATGTGGCCCAGGCTGGACTTGTGATGCTGAAGCAGCTGCAAGCTATAATGAAATTGAAGCAAGTAGAAGCATGAGGCAAGCTTGCTCCAGGGAACTCTTGAATGTCAGCCCAAAATTTCGAAAGCGGTTCACTTGTTCATCCCTTGCTCTGCAGCTCGATCCTTCACGTGCTGGTCGACAATACGCGCCTGATTCCAGGAATTCTGCACTGCCTCATGTATGCACTCCAGGACTCACAGCCACGCTTTCTGCACCTGTTGTGTACCAGCAAAAACCCGAAGATGCAACCCTCCAAAAACGCATGGTAAGATAGCTCCGAAGCGGCATGGCCAAGAACCAAGATCCTCTGGCTTTGAAAAATGTTATTAAAAAGGGTCCCTTATTAAAGCCACTAGGGAAAATATTAAATATCCCAGGAGCCTACCCGATCCTAGCCTGTCTGGCATTGTCTTGATCTGCTGGGGAGGAGCGTGTCACTTAAAGTAGGGCTGCCAAGGCCGTAAAATGTCTCTGAAGTTTTTCTTGCTAGTTGAAGGATCTCCCAGAAGAAGACTCCTAGATCCCAACCTCAGTGCTTGCAATGCTCTTGTAACCCCACGGTCCTAACATTTGCCAGGGCAAACAGAGTAAACCTGAGGAATTTTTCTGAGCCTCTGTCAATAACCGTGCACCTACACATCATTATATTCTCCAATGTGCACATAGAATTTGAAAAGTCCTCGTAGTCTCATGTGCCCAAGGACCCAACACAAAAAGGTAACCCCCAGTGTCCTGAAACCAAAGCCCGTTAAATTTCAGACTCCAGCCTGTCTCACTGCCTGCCTGAAGGCTTCGGACTGCTTCTTCCAAGTAGGAACTGCGAGGCTGGATCAGGGAGTCACACACGGCATAATTCCAGAATAGTGGTGCTTTTTATAAAACTGGTAGAATAGCACTAATCTGAAAACATATGGTGCTTGTGGTCATGGTGGATGGCAGTGGCGGTGGCAGTGGCGGCCAGCGCCAGCGGTAGTAGCAACTGCAGTACATTAATTAGTAACGGACGCACAGGGCCGCGATATTGGCTCCATCTGTTCCAGCACTAGTGGCCAAAACGCTATTACTCATGGTATTCGGTGTAATCGTATTATGAGGGGTGCTGGGTTGTGTTTAGAGGTTAGCCGCGCAAGCACGACCTGATTTGCCCGCCCGACTAGTAGCTGACAAGCTTTCCTTGAATAGTCGCATTTGGTACGTTTTATGGGCTGACAGTGCGCCATCCTCTGGTTTGGGCTCCCCCTGGTTTGGGCTGTCATGCGCAGTAATGACAAGAGCTGTTGATTCTGGCTAGCCCCCTGTGTCATGCCGCAGCCCAACAGAACTGACGTCTCAACAGTGCGCTGCGGTCTCGCGCATCCATAAGGAATGGCCCCAAGCAAAGCCGTACACGATCTGCCACTTGCCAAGCTTGACGGTCACAGTTTCCCTGCGTTGGTGGCGAGTATCTGAGGCGGAGGTCTCTCAGGCAGCCGGCGCAAAAGTGAGAGAAAACTGCAGGACTGAAATGTAAACTAAGGTGATTGTCTACGTGTCTTCGTGGCAGGAAGAGGTCTACGCTGGTTGCTCTCGGCAACTCCAAGTCCCCGCTTCTGCAGTGGGGCTTGATTCCAACTCACAGCATAAAAGCTGTGAATCAGGTCATACGCTCCTACCACCTTGAGCAAGCACAAACACCCTGCGGCCTACAGCAATCTCAACTTGGCAGTTTCATTATTTGTGTGCTGCTGATGCTGCCCGCAGTGTTCTTCCCAGGTTCCGGCTGCACTAACCTCGAACGTGCGCTGGGGCACATTAGCCCTTTGACGCACGACCATGAACCTGCACCAATACCCTGGATCTGCGCAACATTGGCTGTTCCAAGTGAACTGAAACCTTTTTACAGCCCTGGAAGCACAACCCCAGCCATGCCGTGTCTGCCGCAGATCCTAGGCAAGTTCGACAGCAAGCTGGCGCACTGATTCAAGGCTTCTCGCGCATGCCCTCGCAGGCGCATCGAAGATGACTCAAGACCAGAAATTGGCCTGAAGGGAGCTGCTAAGCGCGTTAACGGTGACATGCCCTCTAGGAGAATGGCTCTAGAAGTTGCTGATTCCTTCTTCCACGGGTTTTGTCGTGTCAGCCTCAAGGAAATCAATTCCCATGGGCCAGGCCACAGCTACCAACCTACAAAGGCGTGAGATATTAGGCAGTCCCCCATACTCAGCTTATGGGAAGAGGGCCAGTCATTTGTAAAATCCTGGCCACAAGTATCGCCTGGCTGGCTTCCTCCTCACTTTCTCTGGCTTCTCGCAAGAGGGCGCAGAGTCAACAGCGCTGCAGGAGCCAAAATTCGAGGAAAATGCATGCAAAGGCATGGAACTGTACTGGTCCATGCCAGTTTGTTAAATCAGTACAGTATATATGAGCATACACGTCCGAGCCCCGTTCAGGATCACTGACCTCTTGTCAGTCTGCGCGCCGATTCCCGCGTTTCCAAGAGTCGTGGTTCGCATTGGAATTCCATACTTTCAGGGCGCCCCAGACAACACCGCCCTTTCAACACCTGTCGGGCCACGGGTGCCATAAAGGCAACCTCTAAAAGGGCAGGAGGAAGCGATCTCGCAAGCATTAAAAGAGGCCACGTCAAATCCTGGCGGTCTCTGCATGTCAGAGTACGCCCTGTTTTTGGCCACTGCTTGCCGGGGCGTGGGGGATAGAGCCGTTGATGTCCTTCACTGGCTACCCAGATGTTTAAGAACAAGTTTAACATGGCCAATTAGGAACTGAACGGCTCTTGGTCTGCCTCACAGAAGCTTTGACAGTGCGGGTTGTGGCCCTGCAAACAAGGTAGCGCCAAGGAATCACAAAGAATCCCTATGGTCCCCTTGCGCCCCTTCTCAGCCATTGAAGAACCTAGCTGGCGCTGCTTATGCAAAGCTCCGAGGCAGTGAAACCTGGGTTGTCCCGTTCAGCGGACTTCCAAAGCCAGGACATGCACTTCTCTCAGCTCTCTGAAAACACCGGGTGCGCAGCGCCCCCCCAAGTACTGCACGTGCACCGCTCGGCATGGGATGAAATGAAGATCTGAACGAAAAGAGGTCAGACACATGACAACACCAAGACCGGAGTCTTGAACACAAATACCATTGAACAGACCTGACGCAGCAAGCATCTGTGACGATGAACGAAATACGTCCACGGAAGCCCCACATGCCATAGATCTAAGGCCGGACAGGGCAGAAAGTCAAAGCAACACATTCATACCTAGTTTGGCAGGAGCATTTCCGAAGCAGAACAATGAGCACACTCACTCTGAAGCCTCGGAATGATTGTGACGCTTTGCGACGTTCAGCATCTGCATCCCTGTACAAATGTCTTCACGTAGGCTACTGATCAAAACCACGTGCCCTGCGTGAACATCCCTAAACCGCTTGATCCAAAGGGTCTGGGTCGCACCCTTGAGATGACTGACTCTTGCTAGTTCCCGCAGGTGTACAGCTTGAGGATTTGCGTTGCGTGGAAAGACTGTTGGTGCGGCCGTCGCGCGTCGGGGGGAAGCTCTGCTGCTCCGTAGAAGCCGGAGGCACCGCAGGTCCACTGATTCAAACATAGATAAGGCTGTAAAGCCTGTTCAGCAGGGCCACCTGGTCTCCTCCGCAACCGCGACAGTTTCTACTCTAACGTCCTGAGCACAGTGCTGGCCCATGACAGCTCCGTGTGATGGAGGAGCCCGAAAATGTGGCCCGCTACACGGGTACTTCGGGGTGCAAGGGCCAGCGCAAAATCTCTGCCGATCCTTAGCTGCCTTAACATAGGTTGGGTAGAGACCTGATAATCAACAGAGATTGATTGGCACAAGCGCTTGGAGGGAACCGTTGCTGCTTGAACCTTGCCCCTGCTGGACAGCTGCATACAAGCCTGTTAGCTGTAAATGCCGACGATGTTCGCAAGCTCGTCAAGCGACTCACATCGTTTGGATGGGCACTAGTGTTCGCAGATTTGTCAGCGAGACAGGTGCCAATATGGTATGAAATGTGCTTCCTGACCTTCGCGTGTGATGGCAGGATACTCAGTATTCATCAATGCAACAGCATTTCTTCCAAGAAGGAGGGCAGAAATAGGACTTAGGCCGCAGACAGGGAGCGCGTGCATGGACTTGCAAAACAGCTGGCACTCCGTGCCCTGTGCCTTTTGGAAGCAAATTCAGCTCACCCCGGCAGTTGTTCACATGCAACCAGGCAAGGACTTGCATAAGCAAGAATCTGATGCGCGCTTGTCAGCTTCCTTCTGCGGGACCCTGGGGCCCCACAATTTGCAGGAAGCCCTTCTACGAGAGAACCTCGCAATTGGGGCTGGCAACCCTTTTGCCTTCAAGCGTGGGCACCGCAGAAATCTCAGCTCTGCTGAGACCTGATTTCTCTGACATGCCCGAGACATCTGAAACTCCTGTCAAGGCGGAACAAATTCTGAATTCGTACCAGGTGCCGTATGGCCGGCCTGCTATGCGATGGTCAAACACGCCTGCAGCCAAACTGGTATACCATTGATTCTCTGTCGGTACCAGCCCGGCTCAAACGCCTTTCTCTTGCTGACCTGGCCAGTACTCAGGAGAAATTGATTGGCCACCCAGATAGACATGTGTACATATGAATTTATGTATGCGCGTCTTCTTATCATTACATGCAATCACATGGTTCTTGATCTATCTAACTGCTGTACGGAAACATGTGAGAACTGGCATGCTCAAAACACATCTGCAACACTCCGAACACGTGCTGGACAGCTGTAACAGCTTTGCTGGTCTGGCTGTACCTCCCCTCAGACTGAAGAATGCCAAGGGCCTGGGAGACTGCTGCCAAGAAAGTCCACAACTGAGTACTCCACGGTGCCAAAACCTTGGAGCTAGTGCTCAGCTTCACTACCGATTAATCCGTAAAAACCATGACAATGAGAAAAGACAAGCGAACAAGTGTTGACATGTGTTCACCTCCACTTTGACAGTTGATTTAGCTTTGACTTCCAAGCGTTGGTACTTTCATATGCACCGACATCTGAGACAGTGCTTTTTGCGAACAAGCTGCCCTTTAAATCCACGGCTGCCGGCACCAGATTGAAATCTGCCTCCTTCACCTTGGATTGCGAGGCTGCAGGCTTTCTTGAGGTAGGAAACATCTGCACAGTGCAACTATTGTGGCATGCCTACACAGGTCCCGTGGTAGCAGCCTGGATGCCCTCAGTGCCTTGAGCTCGCCACTGCTTACACTTCGCACTGACCGTACTGATGATGTTGTCACAATGGCACAAGAGATGGTTTAAAGGCTCCGGACCTCGTCCAGGAGCTGTGTCGTGAAGTTCTTGCAGCAGGCAATTCGCGAGCGTGGGCATACTGATTCCAAGCGCTGGGAGAGGTGTATCCTAAGTTGCCAAGAGGAATCCCCGCAAGCTTCGAGGCAAAGCTGTTGAGGCGAAACAGAATGGGTATTTGACCAGTGGCCGACGATACGAAACGGCTGCAGACATCTTCTAGCGCCTGTGCAGTACACTTCAAGCTCCGGTGCCTTACAACAACTTCTTCCTCAGAACGCCTGATCTGAACCAAAGAGCACCCTGAAGCAAAGCGGATGGATTTTAGGTGAGGAAGCGGATCACATGAATCTGGGGTGTACCGTGTACTTGCGCAGAAGCAACCGGCTTCAGCTGAGCTTCGTCGATCCGAATACGCGGAAGTTGCGACCGTCCACCACTCCAGCACACAAGGGTCCCAAAGCAACACCGGTCCGCAGGTACATTCCTTGCTTTGTGGGCTGCCCTGAAACTTGCTGCCTCCCACATCCTACACCTCCTACACCTTGAGTCTTGACTGCTATTTGATGCCCCTCGCAAGTGATGGCAGGCCAGGTCCGAGTGCGCAAGGCTTACTTGCAATATGCTGCATGTGCTCAACACCCACTGTGTGCACACAAGTCTGGATTGTCCGTGACATGAAGGGACAGTCCTTGACGTGGATGAGATGTGTCCCGACACTTCATGTAATTTCTGCAAGAAAAGTTGACCGGAGTTTAAGCTTGCACTTCGCGAACGCCGCTACTGTATCACAACTCAAGTCCAATCCGGAACCGAAGCAAAAGCAGACCTTGGGCTTCAGTGCCCGACAGCCCGAAAGGAAGTCACTGTGTATGGGCCCATTATGGTAATTTCGTTCGCAGTCAGACCTCTTGCACCGCATCACACTGCTGGGGTCATGCTGAGTCACCATGATCACCATCTGCGAAGGCTGATAGCATCTCATCTACAGCTCTCTGCACCTCGAGCGCCATGCAGAGCTCAACTTCAATTGGATGTTGAGGGTCTCACCATTCGAGTCGCATATACTTGGCAATATAATGTATTTGGAACTCGGGCAGAACTAGTTACTTCTTGCCCTGTTCCGCAGTACATCGGTCTGTCGTCCGGGCTTGCAAAGGTTCTGACCTTCAACATTTTGATCTCGCAAGCATTTGACCATGGAAGAGGTTGGTTGGTCTAACCTGGAATGGTTAACCATAATTCCAGTACAGTGGAAGTGGGTATCAATATGGTAGTTTCCATAAACAGGGGGACCCCAACTCAAACCCTGAAATACTACTGTAATCCTTATGAAAAAACGCCGCAAAAGGTACCCCTAATTTTAGGAAAACCTGAATCCTCTTAATTTACCACATAATCAATCCCAGTTTCCATTTCATTTTCCGTGTTCTTTCCGCTTGATTCTCCACTATCAAGGTAAGATCCCTATAAAGTATCCCCATGTTCCTGTATGATCCCTAAACAAGTTCTATAAAATCCTTATGTATCCCTCGCCATTGTCACAGCCAACGGGGCCTTGGCTGCAACGTAGATTGCTATCGAAGCTGTCCGGCCTGAATGCAGGATATGGGGCCTTTAGGAGGGACCTTTACTTGGGACCCCTGTAGCTCAAGTAGGGCTACCTAGGTATATTGGGGGTATATCAGGATTGCAAAAGGGTTGATATGAGGGTTGCGGGGAGGATGCACAGCGCCTATCACAGGGTTCCCATGGATTGTGCTTTAACTGAGACTAATCAACATCAGCTGCAGTGGCACAGTGCCACGCAACCCAGTACCTAGTGATGCTGGCACAACAACCTTGTTCATCCCTTGCTGCCTGGATATCGCGCCATGAACTCTGCATTGCAGAGTAGAAGCAAGCCTTAACGGATCAAGATTGCAGCAGCTTCGGGCGAGTAAACGCACGCAGCGGATCCACTGACACAGCTGAGCCAAGCTAGGCTTAGGTCCTGCGCTGAAAGCATCCGTCCACATCTGGCTTTTGAGGAGTGCTTGCAATGTCATCTAAGCCCATTCTGCCTGCCCCCCTACCACCGAGTCGCCACCGAGTTGCTGTCGCCCACTGCCTCGTGGATATAGACGTAGGGATGGGCCTCCCTCTGGACAACTGCATTGGCTGTGACATAGACCTCACTCTGTGCTCGAGGGACTTGTGATACGATGGGCTGCTATTTTCCGTGCGCAGACAGACATCCTGTGGATCCACAGCCCCTCCTCAAGACCCACAGCCGATGCAAGCTCAGAGGCCTGATGCAACAGCTCAGCCATCATTCGCGGAGTCTGGGAGGTCGCGAAGCGCGTAGTGTTCGCAACGTCCGTCATGATGCAGGCGACCTCCTTCAGGAAGGGTCCAAGTTCAGGGAACGGAAAACCTGCCTTGTGCTGCAAACCGTCCTGGCAGTCAATGATGTGGGGAGCTGCTGGCTGGCGTAGAAATTGTCCGAAGCCACGCGGAACGCATTGCGCAATCTTGCCCCTGACGCTTTCAAAGACCTGTGCGGGTCAGCGCAGCCGACCAGTGATGGGGGGACTCCCGGAAATGGAACAAGATTGCAGCAGATGATTTTGCCAAGGCGCAAGCTTTGAAGATAGATCTGCATGGATGTTCACCTCAAATTGCTGGCTCTGGCTGTTGCAGCCTAGTTTGCCCCAAAAAGCTCCGGTCCGTAGGTTTTATGTGAAGCATAGCTCCGTCCCAGGCTTTAGTCGAGAATTGACAGTGTTTCCAGGAAGGGGGATCTCTGTTTTAGCGGTCTTCATATGCGACCAAGGACCGTGAGCCGGCAAGGAAGCGGAGCACCCTCAGAATCCAGGATCACGGCATCACCTTGCGCACGGAGCAGGCCTACATAAGCCCTTGCGCAAGTCACCTTCAATCTCCCCTGAATGAAACCTTGTGCGTTGCTGCCTGGTTGCTTCCAGGACCGAACTATGAACAGTATTCAATTCCTGCGCATGATGACGGTGTGGCGTCAGCTGTTTAGGCAACAAAGGGACACAATCGCTTGAACATCCAGACATTCATTTACACTTGCTACTCTTCCTCCTCCTTCTCCCTTCCCAACTTTCCCAACACATCCCAACACCTTCACATCCCTCGTAGAAGGCCGGGATGCGGCAGCGCGATGCGTGGCCCAGCAGCGCTTCACGACGCCAACCTGGCATCGCTTGGAGCCGGCGAAAGAGCGAGGCCTTGGAGCTTGGCATGAACAGATTGGGAGCCTGTAAGGGAAACCCGCGAGGTTAAGGATTCTGTAGGGGCGCGTGCGAAAGTTGGATGTTTTTGAGGGGTTCCCCAGTCAGCGCCGCACGGCGGTCGGGGAGCACCGACTACAGCCTAGCTACTGCATAAAAAAAAGTCCCGAGTCGCTTTCAAGGTGGATTCCCAGTAGAGCTGTTGAAAGTTGTCCACTTCTAACGAGGCGAAGGGAGCCGTGAGCTGCATTGGAGAGGTACCAAGGAAAGCCGTGAACATCCGTGAACACTACTGCCAGACCGCCTTGAGGTCGCTGCCTGCAGCTTGTGGGCCTACCCCGCCCTGAGCCTAAACCTGTGAAGGCGAAAATGACCGGCCGCACTTCCATCTTGCCATTCAAATGAGCTGCATGGGCCTCTGAAACCACACTGGGCATGAGGACCAGCACACTCCTTCAAAGCGGGCTGCGCAGAAAGAATGCCGTGGAAGAGCGCGGTAGCGACAAGGAGAGCATGCTGCAGCAATCCGTGGTCGGAGGCTGGCACTCCTGAAATCCTTGTAACAAGAGGCTTCAACCCCACCGTCAACACTAAAGCAGACTAGCAGGTGAGAAAATGCGGCTGGGGCATATCAAGGTCGGCCCGGAATTCTTGAACACGGGCCTGCCAATCAGCGATTCCGGCTCGTAGCGCAGCAACTTACAGAGCCTTGGATGTGGTCGTTTTGCTGACTTCAAAAGATTTTATGAGTAAACCGTATAGGTCACATCTTCGCCCCTCAAGGCCTTACTCCTTGCACAGATCTCAATCCATCTAGCTCTTGGGTATGATGCGCAGACGGGTGTATTTATGTGGAATCTTCAGGCACCTGCGCGGGAAGCCTGGCCCCTAGGCTGGGCGTGAAGCCAATTTCATGCAATGCTTTGGATGTCGTGGTGAAAAACACCTACAGCCATCATCCAGGGGGAGGAGGAGCTTTACGGTTTACCTGCTATTGGATTCAGATCGAGCCACTGCAGGAAGAATGAAATAGTTGTTCTATGTTGTTTCTCCACATTTGACATCTTGAGCCATTGACGTCTACATCTGTTGCAGACTTGCCCCAAGAACGCGAAGCAGCTTTGACTCGATTGCGCCCACTGATCTAATTGCCCGTCTGCTTCTCCAGGCAACTCTAACTGCACCTCTGTAATCACAAAGTTGGAGTCGCAGCGTAGCCATGTGCTCCATGTTTTCGGTGACCCTGGAGAGGTCACATGCCGAACCTCAGGTTGGGGTAATGAAGGGTGCGTTGGGTAAGTAGTCCTCTCAGCTGCTCTCAAGGGGTAATACTTCTTCCTGGCCTTCTCCTGGTAGGAAACCTCCCCTGCAGGTGCCTGTTGGCAGACGGCAGAAGCTTGAGCAGCTGGAGCTTGAAACGGGCAGTTGTGAAAGCGATGCAGCTGGCTTGATTTGAGTGGCGATGTCTGTTCAAAGACTGGGGCCAAACGACTCCCAAAAAAAGAGTACTGAAAGAAGGCAAGATCTTGCCACCCGCTCCATCTCATGTGAAGGGTGTTCGACGGTGCAGGTACACTGCCAAAATCGCCTATCTTACTCCGTGTTCTTGTTAATAAAACAGCCTAGGATTTCACGCAACCTCACTGGGGAAAAACGCCCCAAACACACTAGATTCAAAGCAAAGTATCCCCAGACCCAAAAACCGCAAGGTCCAGGTTGGAGGTTACTCTACTTCTACTTAGCATGATTTACTTCTTCACCTTTGATCTGCCAAGCCTAGCATGAAACAATGGGTCGAGGTTGTTATCTTAGGGAGCAGCGGGCGTCCTTACTTATCAAGAGCGCAGATTAAGCCAATGTGATGAGTAAAGAAATCTCCGAAGTGTGGATGACTCATTCCTCGGTGTGGCGTAGCGTGGCTAGATTACGCACAGCGCCCTTGGAACACAATCTCTAACATCATCCTAGAGCTTGCCCTCATGCTCCACGAGCTGTGCACCACCACAGTCCTCCTACTGTAGAAACCTCAGCCCAAAACTTGGAGATGTCCGAGCCTGCAGCTGCCGTAGCCATGTCTGCCTGAAGAGCCGCCGGAGAAGCCATCGCAATGCCTCCCGAGCAGGCTGGCAAGTCTTTGGGCGTGCATTCCTCTGGACAAGCAGTCGAGTTTTATCCTTAGATGAAACCTGGGGTACTAGAACTGTTTGACGCTCAGGGCACACAAGCTTGGCTTGATCGATCCGCCAAGGAGCTGAAATCAAAGAGTTCGACAAAATCTCCTTGGATGTTGGGAAGGTGCACCCTCTGGACACATCTAATACCCGGTTTTCCGAAGTGAAGGAAGGGCATGAGCGATCCATTTTGAGGCTAGAGCTGCACAACATCGTGGAGTCTCAACCAGTTGCATGCCAGCCTTTAACTTTAGCTTTGCGCCTGTTTTGGGAGTACAAGACTTAGAGCTGAGACGAAGCTTGACGGAAGACCATGCTAATTGCTCAGTGAGAGCCCTGCAGTAGCCAAGCTTCCACAAAGGCCATGGTCCTTTTTGCCGGCCACTGAGCGGCTGGGCCGCGGAGCAACCCTGACCTACAACACAGGCTCTGCGAGTTCATAGCATGCAGTCGCGTTTAAGCTGATCCCTGTTCAGAATCCTATGACGCGATTGAGAGTCAACGCGGTCACCTGGGAATAGGATGGCAGCACATGCTCTACACCAGTTCGCCTCAATAGGAAATGGCTCCACTGCACATTTCGCGGTGGGACTTTGGAATTGACAGTGGAAAGGGTTTTGGTGCTTGGCTCATGTTCGCAGCGTGAACATGACAACGAGTTAATTAGCCTGCTAGTCTTTGTAGCTCTACCAAGATACCAAGAAGGCCGAGCGGCATCGGGGGCGCACCCGGCAACCCAATCTTCCCTGATTGAAGCCAACTGCGGCGAGGCATCTACCAGATCTTCCCGGACCTCTCCTCCTGCTTGCCTTGAGGTTCGCCCCAACATTGCTATGATTCTGGACGGTCGGCAATTTGCAGGGTAGCTTTTTCGGAGCCTCTCCTCCCTACGCCCAATCCTCAACAACGCAACCAACCAACGTCACCCGTCACTTGGGAAGCTCTTCAACTCCTATACCGCAACCAGCATTCCGGCTCTGAAGCCGCTCTCTGTTGAGGCCTACCTAATATGTCCCCATATAACCCCAGTTTCCATCGTATTTTCCATTTGATTTTCCATTATTCATACTCTGAAGTTTCCTCGACACAACACACAATCCTCGAACTTCTGCAAGACCCACAAGAACTATAGTCTACATTCCTACAGTAGTACCCCTCTCAATAACAACTATGACGCTCACTGTATACTCACCTATATGACAGCCTTTAAGGCACTATAGCTCACATAGAAACCCTTCACCCTAAGTAGTTTCCATTTTATTTCCCTTTATCCCACTATAACTCCAACATACTATGGTAGTTTCCATTTTCTTTTCCATTATCCCAATATGACCCCAGTATACTATAGTATTTTCCGCTTTCTTTTCCATTATCCCTATATAACCCCTATAAATACCCAATGTAGCCCATTATAGTGGTTTCCATGTTCTTTCCATTATCCCTATATAACCCTAATATACCTGTAATCCCCATATAACCCCGAATAATCCCTTGTATAACCCAATTATGGTGGTAGCTCACAAGAAGGGAGGGGGAGGCGCTGCCAGTCCCTGGCTTGATAGGCCGTTCCTCCGGTCCCTTTCGGCCTTAGCACATTTGTCCTGATGGGGATTATAGGGGTTATACAGGGGTGATTATAGGGATTATAGGGTATATATTGGGGTTATATAGGCATAGTCGAAAAGAAAATGGAAACTATTGTATAGTAGATCTGGAACTTTAAAGGGGAATGACTTAGGTTGGACCCCCACCCAGTAAAAGTGATTAAGGGGGATAATAAGGATTATATTAGGGTCCTCTTATGCTCGCTGTTATACCACTATTACAGGGTGGGGGGTCCTCCTAATGAATGACTTTCTTTCCCACCCGCCGCCGATCACAGCACAAATGCCAGAGTCTAGGTTGGAGGTGCGTAGGCTCTTGAATTTTGCAGGGCTTGGGGCTCATCTGCAAGAATCCAGATTGGAGTTGTGCTGAGTTGTACTCTTAGCAGACAGGGCCAGATTGTCACAAGGGCTCGAAGGAAAGCGATAGAGTCCAATTCCAACGGATTTCTTAGAGCTGAGGCATGACAGAAGCTATTGAACGCAGGTTCGGCGTGCTAACTCCTGAAGGATGACGGGTATCAACCACCAACAACAATCTGCATCAACAAGCGGGGGCCTGCATACGACGGGGCACATCATGACATGAGGCTTCATGGCAGTACTGACTGTTAGACTAGTGCGTACTCCTGCATCTAAGGCCGCGAGCCCTGTATCATCTTCTCCTGACAGCAGAAACACCGTCAGCAACACGGAGGTGAGAACAAAAAGCTTGCAAACGTCATCTGAGATCTGCCTGCTTTTCGTGGGCTTTCCTCGCCTCCCAGTCAAATGACTGTTTGTTCCCGAGCAATGCCACATGATAATGCATTATTCAATGGCAGAGCTTGCTGGGAATGTGAGACCAACGCAGCTTGGTTGAGGTGTGCCTTCACGGCCTCGACAGGAACGGCTTGCTTGACCTTAGCTCTCTCCCGTGTCACGCAGGTGCATGAAGACTGGCCCGGCCAAAGCTTTAGAGGCCAGAGAATCGCTCTGATCAGGTAACTGCAAGCAATGTGACTGGAATGGGGTGAAAACGACCGTTTCCCCCAATCCGGCTACAAGATCTACAGGTTTGCAACTAAGATAATTTGCATATTGAAGTAGAGTGCGTTACTCTCAGGCAAGGGCAGCATTGAAAACCTGGCCGGGAGACATGCAGAGGAGGAACATGGTGCAAATGGTGTGGGATGTTGGGATGATGAAGACGTAGTGATGTAGTGTAGGAGCAACTTCTGCCATGCTAGGCTGCTAAGCGCATCCAAAGCAGTGTGCTCCCGGGCTCCTGCCTTCCGCTTCTCCTGAAAGACCTTCTGGCAAATGCCCATGTGCCTCTCCAAGGCCGATATCCTGCTGGAGTCAAACAGAAATTGTGTGTAGATTTCAGTTTGTTGCAAAGCCGTCCGGGTCTCCTGAAAGTGCGGCCGCAGTGGGAGCACGGCGCCATGGGCTCATCAGGAGCAGCCTTTCGCATCAGCTGTGGTGTTCACAGCCTTGTTTGGTTGGCTGCGGCCCTGCGTAACGAACCGGGAAAAAGGACTACAACCAAAATCCAAAGTCCCTCTGCCAGCCTCGTCTGGCATACCTGGCGTACCCGAGGCGAACGGCTGTTGGAAAGCCTGTCTGAAGTTGTGGTGGCGCAGCTTTCTGCTGTGTATGGCCTGGGGTTGAAATAGCTTCGCACCGAATAGCAGTGAGAATGTCGCCCTGTGCAAGGCCGTGCAGCCACGGGCTCTCAAGGGGCGGTGCCTTGATGGATTCAATGCCTGTTGCCTTTGTTTTGTTTCCTGCTGGTCGACCCCATGCTCCTGTTCGTTGCTGTTGCCAGCTGGTTTGCAGGAATCTTGTCACGGCATCTAGGCTTGCATGTTTCAAACCAGGGGACAATGTCTTGTGGAAGGCTGACCTTGCCGGCGCTTCTCTTACTCTCTGGCAATCCTTCTTGAGGCAACGGGCTATTCAGGTTAGCCATCCTCGAGTCAACTAAAGACTCTGTCTCTATGGTTACCGAACTTTTTGTCAATTCCACTTTAAATGGTGTTGGAACTGTGAGATTATGTCAACTTGAATCGACTCGAAGCATCTGCCTCAGCCTTCGCCGCTGGGAGGGCAGGTGAGCTCGGTCGACGAGCCGGCGGTGCCTGCAAGGTCACCACCACAGACAGGATGGCCATGAGCTTCGTGATTTGACTAGGAGCTGAACCATCCTGAACCCCAAATGCCCCTGTGCCTGCGCCCATGGCATCTGACAACCCTTCAACCCCCACCTAAGGGCGGGACCTGCGCATTCTGTCGAATTGTCGGTATGGGTGGCGATGGTGGGCGCTCCTGGGCCTTGCCAAAGGTTTTCTCAAAATTCTCCGGCGTACCTCATGACACCTCATCACTTGTTGACAATCTCAACTTCAAAGATGTTACCAAATGCAAGGTAAGGCCTCTGACTTCGCCGCGAGCCACGCACTCACAGAACCAGCCATGTCAGCCTTGAAAACAACAAGTGATCCTGGCCTTTCCCAGAGAGCCAAAGCTGTCAGCTCCTGCTACAAAGCAGCGGGCCATTGTTCGTTGTCGGCTCATTGCATCAAAACACGTCGTTGTTGCACATGGACGGGGCGCGAGAGGCTCTCTCTCGTACCATTAGCTATTGCACTGTAAGATTGAAGGAATCCACGGGCACCGGAGCTCCTGCAGCCGCCTGCCTAGGAGGCCTAGGAGGAGGAGTTGACTGTGAGGATTGAGTGTCCGACCTCAGAAGAAGCAGTGCCAAAGATCAAACGCTGGAAGTTGTCGACACTGAGCATCTCAAGACCGAAAAGGGTCCAATTCAAGGGGCCGATTGATAAGGAGACCCTCATCATCATAAACAAATACGTGCAGATTTATGCCAGGAACTGCGGTAAAGTGGTTAAAGCGCATCGTGGTGAGACAGTGAGCAAGGGTGAAGTTCCATCCCCATCTCGCTGGCCGAAGGCGTCAGCAGATCTACACGAATTAAAGCTAAGAATGTCGTTGCCCCGGATTTAATGCACCATCCATGCAGAAGGAAGGACACGGCAACCTTCCAACAAGGGGCTACCATGGCTTTCCCAGTCCCAGTCCCCTAAAGTCCTGCAGCACTCAAGAAGCCTGTCTCCGAATATGGCATGTGCGATTTTCTAGCGCAGCAAAACAAATTCATCATGACGGGGCCCGCGCTTGGCGAATGGGTCTCCCCTCGAACGTGTTGGAACACCACAGGTCTTCAAATGCATGACCTGCGGTGCCCATGGGCCAAACAAAGATGACGTCAGATGCATCATGTTCGTGCCCTGTAGTGACATCGCACAGGGACTGACCAGTAGTTGCCACGTGAATCACAGAATGAAAGCGGTAGCAAACCAGATCACTCGCCCTCTTTCCAGGGTCCTGACCAAGGCCCGTCCCTGCAGCGGCCGCCCGCAGCGTGGACACCCTTGGCCATCAGATGCCTTGGTAATCGCACGGAATGGGAGTTGCCAGTGGGATGGAGGAGAGCAGGGAGAGTGAGGACAGCCTCCCTCCGAACAAGGTGTGTGAAGCTCGCAGTACGAAGCATGTGGGCACATCATACAGTCCAGTCATATACAGTCACATGATACGGGCTGAATTGCGTGAGGAGATAGCACTCGGCAGCAGAAGCTCTACGCTTATATAAATAGCACTTGTACACCGCATGAGGCAACATTGTGCATTACTTTTCTCTGGCTTGTCAAAAATTTCATGATATTGTTTTTCTATGGCTCAGTCAATGCCAACTTCGAAATGGTTGGCGTAGGCATTTGCATAGGCCTTCGCCCGCGCATTGACTATGACAGCATAGCATTCATCATCTTCGGCCTGCCTTTACATTGACCTGATTGCTTGTTACCTTCAACAAGGCTAGTGCCGCAGGACAGCTCAGGTTCGAACTCCTGAAGGAGGCCTTCAGGACATATGGTGACACGGCTTTCAAGTCAGGCTGTGGAAATGCTTGATGTCTGGGCGATATGGTATATTGGGGTCATTTTGGGATAATGGAAAAGAAAGCGGAAGCTTCTGTAGTGTAAGCCCCCTAAGCTGGAACCTTTACATCCCAGGATTCCAGGTCTCCCCCCATGAAGATCAGGTCAGATCTGCTCAGCCTCACTTTCCAGTCAAAATTCCCCAAGCGTTTGCGTGAGGATTATTTCGTGAAAGTCTGAAACATACAGCCAATGAGTGATCGAATTCAGGGGCCCTGGATACCTCCCATTCTTCATGCAGGGCCTGGAATTCGTCGCAGGAGGCTCTGGCGCTGGCGCTGGCTTGGCCTAGCTGAAAGCAAAGGTCATGCTACAGTAGCAACACGCGGTCTTGAGTTGGAACACGGTTTTTGCTGTGTAGGGACTGGAATCCAGAGTCAGAAACCATGGTCCGCAGCAACACTTTCGCTTATTCGCCTATCGTGTTGTCTTGGTCTCTCTGCAGATGCCACTGGACGCCACCAGCTGAGTATGACGTGCTGCTTGTTGTCTTGAAGGCGAGTCTTTACACAGGCGCATGTCATGATGAGAACTCAACTGGCTGCCGTTCAGGCTCTCTCGAAGTTCCTATTTGTACGTATGCTAAACAACTTTCTAGGCCAGCTTATAGTGAACTTTCTATTGCAAGAAAGTACAGCATGAACCCATGGCCTTCGGCCGGCGCGGGATACTGGCACCACGAGCGCGCGGCTCCACAGAGAAACCTCCAGAGCCCCAGTTCGTATTTGGTGGAGGGGGATGCATCCTAAACGACTTCGCAGCTAAAGCGATCAAAAGCCTCGTAGACACGCATACGAAAAAATGGTCGGTTGCGACCATGAGCATGACACACAAGAGACTGATGTTCAATGGTACCGTAGCGCCGCATAGTGTGTAAGGAAAGCCTGCTGACACCTCATCAAAGACTCTAGGGCTCATTACCAGTCCTGTGGATACCAAAAGCTCGCCATGAAGCCTTCCAGCCCAGATGATTGATGGAAGCCTACACGGAGTCTAGACATCCAACATCTCTTAGGCTTAGCAATGCATGAACAAACAGAAGAAAACTTGTCCTCTTGCGGTCAATGACCTCAACCCAACTCCATGCATCTGCGCTGAGTCAAGGATTACATGACTCTGGAAAATGAACTTCGAAACAACACTCACCGGAAGCTTCATAGACTGACTCCTTGTCTCATGTACCTGAAAAGAACCGACAGCTGCGGACTTCTTGCCTACGCTCTTGAAATTCATTGATGGTGAATAATATCGCAGATGGTATGGCGCAACAAGAAAAGCCACGAAAAAGGCCTTCAAGGACTAGGAGGACATGGTAGTAGACAAAAACAAGTTGACGCACCTCTATATATAATGCACTCCCGTAATTCGTATATTACCCCTATAATACACCTTTATAGTCCCCATATAATACTACCCCTATATTCCCTTATTCCATTCCCTTACACCCTAAACCCTAAGCCCTTAACCCTTAACCCTCAACACTAAAGCCCTAAACCCTAGCTCGCGCCCCTAATCTGCATCTGCCTTGGCTTTGAGGCTCAGGGGCCCGGCCCGCCGAGGCTGCACCTCTTTGTTTGGTGGTGTGGATTACTGTTATTATCACTATCATTATCAAGTCTTACTATTACTATTAGTATTCTTGCTATTGTTCTTATTCTTGTTCTTATTGTCATGATTACCCTTGTTGCTCTTAATACCACCATTAATATCACTACTGCTACTTTCCATTTCAGCAATTACAGTTTACCCTTACTAGCCATGTACAGGAATGTTTCTATCATTGCTACTGTATCATGATTGTCGTGATCAACTTGTGTTATCCTTGCATGGCAGCCAACGTGTCCAGAGGCATGCTGATAACTGATAGTTTGTGTAGTCCTTTTGTTGCGTCATGCCTGCCCGTCAGTAGCAAAGCTATGGCAAAGCTATGCCAACGCAAAGTCTTTGAACAAGTGGAACCGAGAATTGATTCTAATGGCAAGCTATGAAGTTGCTGGCAACAGACTGCACGTGTGCTCTGGTCACTTCACCAATTAAGCTTGCCAAGGAGTCGTGTAACTGTCCAGAATCCAGCAGAGTTCTCCAACCGCTAAGCCAGAAGATCAACTTGCAGATGAGCAAGGATGGAAGACATCCCAGCTGCAACGCCCGTTTTGCTCTCCTCGCCAGATGTCAGGGCTGACGCCCTGTTAAAGATGCGCACTTTGGCTGCCCAGTAAGCCTCCAATCAAAATGCACCCCAGAACTAGGAAAAGGGGCTCCTGGCGACTGCTGCCAGTGTTAAACAGAGCCTATGCCACTGCAGCCATCACATGCGTAGCTCACCACATGCAGACAAAGTTGACTAGTCCATTGGTTGCCCCTCAGAGCTTTCACCTCAGCCGCTGTCAAAAATGGCAAAACTCACGAATGGAGGGGCATGATATTGAATACCTGACAATGCACTTGCAAAGCACCTCAGTACGGTAGTGCAGTGGAATTTACCTGGTCGATCCAATCAAGAAAGTTGCATGGGTTGAGCGGATACTTTGCATTACGACGTGCTCGCGTCATCTTACCTGTGCAGGGATACTTGGCAGCTGAGGCTGCTGCCATCTGAATGCTCCTTGTTCGGGACGTCTGGGGCCCTGTGGCAGCATATTCTCTGCGTCTGGATATTAATATGGCAACCTTGCCATAGGGCGGGAGAAGGATTTGTAGCTTTTGAGAAGAACGTGTAGATGTCCTTACTGCGATATCGCGCAAAGTCCATTTGGGACCATGCAGTGCGTCAGGGGCTGCAGCGCCCTCCACAAAAAATGCACAAAATCGAAAGGACCCATCCAAATTCCATCCACTTTCACCATCCCAATTAAGCTGTTCACATTCAAAAGTCACAACAGCATACAACAGCTTAGAATTTGAAAAATTCTAAGTATACGGAGCATCTCGTTTGTGAATGAAGGATCAGCACGCAGCATCACAGCTGCTGCCTATTTAACTCGCCGCAACGTCAACTATAAAGCATTCCCCCGCTTGGAATCACTCACCAGCCCTCGACCTGAAGAAACCGCCCCTGTGGCCCTTTTCCGTAAATCTGGATACTTGATTGAGATATTGTGCCTTCACTATACACACACCCTTCAGGTTACATGGCAGTTTCTCAAAATAGGGGGCCCCAATTTGTATACCCTGATATACTACAGATCATTTTATTTGGACCCCCAAACTGGTACCCCTAACTTTAGGAAACCTCCACATACTTCAGGAGGAACCCTAAACCTAAACCCTATATCACCCCGATATATCCCTATATAACCGCTATATATCCCTATATAACGCCTACAGTATATATCCCTATATAACCACTACACCTCAAGGCAGGGCCTTGCTGGCTCTGGCTGGACATCCTCGGTAGGACCAGGCCTGCCAAGAGCTGGAAAAAGCCTTCGCGGAGTCCCCACCACTGCTTTGCAGGAAGTTACCATTATGGTAGCTCGCATCTTGAAGGGTTTATTGAACCATCGCAAAAGACGCGGAACAGTAGGCTTGCGTTTTGCCTTTCCTTGCCCTGAATGCCAACAGCAGTGCCAGAAAATTCCAGAGTGGCAGTAGCTTTCAAGAAAGTATCCGCAACAGCTGCGGCAAGGAATCTGTAGAATGGTCACATGACTTGAACTGGTGGCGCTACAGTACTAAGTATTAGCGGTTCTGACGTGGTCGGCGTCATGCTAGCAAACGATAGCAGCTTAGCAAAGGCCTCGGCAACGGCATGTTCCGCGCGTGGCGATCGCGACAAAGTGATTCGGCAACATCCAGGACTTCCCCTTAGTTCCAATCGAATTTGCTTCGTGGAGTACAGAATCTTCCCACCCTGAGTTTAATGGGCTACCTCATTCGCAGGAGGAGGCTGCTGTGAGGGACCCAGCAGGCATGCAAGGTTCCTACATGAGGCTACACCAGCGCCAGGTGAGCTGCCTTTTAGGTGTTCGAACTCAATCCCACGTTTGTGCTCTTGGGTGGAGATTTCAACAACCTCACAGCTTTCAAGTCCTTGCATGGTCTACCACACCTCTATGAATCCACCCTGCTGCCTGCAACATTACTCTTTTTTACCCAACCCTGCGTTGGTACACCTGTTGGAGGCACCGAAGCTTGAGAAATTTCCAAACAAAACCCTCAAACCATTCTGGTGCCGGTGCGGATGGTCGGGTGCTCGGAAAGCGCGCAGCGCTCCGGCCGGAGGATGCTGGTGAGGAACAGCCCTGATCATGCAGCTGCGTCCGAGAAGTGGAGTCTACAGTTCCAACCGAGGAAGGCCACAGAAAGGGACAATGCAAAAAAAGCATTCGGTGCGAAATCTGATATGCAACTTTGGTTCTTGTGCGGCTTCAGTCTCAGTTTTCTGTCAATGCATTCAATCATTCGTAAGATTGAAACATGTTGAACTTCCAATGTGTAGCTCGAAGAGAAGGCTGGGCGGCATTGGCTACCAAACTTTGACATGGGCCTTCAAACTGCCACGGCCCTTTGAGGTCTTGTCATTGCCTGCTGACATGCCAGACAAGTTTCCACTCCTTGGCAGCCTGTCTTACACTAGCCGCAACCAGCCTGTGAGCATGCAAGCCCCGCTCTAGGTGAGCAATGCGCGAGCCTTTGTTGATTCGCTTCCAGGTGTTGTTCTTCTTCTCAATGATGCCTTGAAACACAAAAACTCGCGTCATGGATTCTAAGCTGCACCTGGCACAGCCTGGAGTCAACCCCGAAAAAGAAGAAGGTAACACCTCGCTGTCGCATTGGTGTGGAATGCACTGCCCTCGTCTTACGCTCCAGAATTCCGCTTCATGCCTCATGATTGATGTGCCAGCTCTCAGATATTACATCTTCTCACATAGCATGGCTGCTTCTGCAACATGCAAGCTACTAGCATGTTTTGCTTGCCAGGCATGGCTTGGGATGTCCTGCTGGGTAAGGGCAAATGCTAAAACGGCCTGGAATCTGACTCCTCAGGCTTCGCCTTGCAAAATCTACAGCTCCATCATATTAGAAAAGCGCGATGGGGTCTTGGCCCAGTTGCTGTTGGAAGTGTCGATCAAGTTTTTCATGACCCGGTCGTGTGCCAACTTCATCTCATCAACAACATCGTCCACGGAGTCCACGTCAAAGGTGGGTGCGGCCTCTGCATCCTCCAGGAGAGGCATTCGGGCTTCCTTTTGGTTTTGCGCGGCTTACCGCATGGGGAAGAGACAGACAACGTGAAGGTTATGTTCATCCCACGAACAGGATATGCTACTTCATCCCGTGGCGCGAGTCTGTCTAATAGAAAAGATCAAGCATGATCAAGGCATGGAACCGACAAAACGCCTTCTGCCTACTTCCAAAAATGCAAGAACCAACCACCAAACTGTGAAAGGTAAAGCTAGGTGTAGTGACTATCCAACCCGTAAGGTGGAAATCCAGTCAGGTGCCCAAGTCGACCAAAAAGTCGGCTGCCCGCACTAAGAGAGGTTACCACAAGCTTTCAGCATGCCCTGTATCAAACAGACCCTAGACTCTAGACTGGCAATTCAACCTGTTCGAAAGTCATACCAACAGCCTGGCATAAGCCGCTCGCAAGGAAATCGTTCACGGGCAAGGTGTCGTCCCCAGCAAAACAATGAACAGAGTGACTAATTAGGCTATAATCACATATCACAATGGTCCATGGCTACAGCTACCATGGGTGTCATCTCGTCCCTACCTGCCCTGCAGGCTTCCCCCCTGCAAAGAGGTCTAGCCTCCTCCCGCGGATCTGCTTCAGATTCAGGGGCCGCCAAGAGCTCCGGCAAAACTCCCTGCTCCAAGGAGGGGAGGCGGCCGGCAATGTAGTCCTGCGCAAGGAGAAGACTAGAGGCTAAGGGTTGCACTTGGAGCTTTGGAGGTACGGTGCAGCGGCACAGCATGATTTTCACACTCGGATAACTTACGTTACATCAATCATGATGTCCTCTCTCTTCCACCGCTCAAACGCTGTGAAGTAATGCCAGCACTAAGGATTCACCCAGCTATGCGAGCCTCAACATGTACACAAGGTGTGTGCAAGTGTTTCCGCAGCGTGTGCAGTTTCGGAGCGTTCGCAATTTCAAATAGCAATCGTCCCCTATCTAAGTCGTCAGAAGAATGCACTACCATGGAGTCCCGAAGTAACTGCATTCTCGCGCAGTGCTCATCCAACGCCTGACAGCTTGACAGTTTTGCAACGGGCAGGGGCAAAGGAACTAAGACTAAGCCCATTGATGCGGTAGTGCCGTCACCATCAGCGATGTCAGCATCATCATCACCAGCATATCATCAGCTTCCTCATCCACAAATACTCACTATTTTGATCACAAAGGACTGCAGGCATTTACCCGGTCGGAATTTGCAACATACACAGTGAAAAAAGAGCACAAGATCTTCAGGTGTGTTTGAGCTGAAGCTTTGAACTCTGAGTGCTATGGCAAATCACCATGAAGTTTGCAGATTTTGCCGCTCGGGGCGATTGTCAAAAACAGGCCGCCAGCCGCCGGAGAAGTGATCTGCCGTGAGGACACAGGTAGCTAATGATAATTTCAACGAAGTTCCCGAGTTTACCTGGTATGATCGCAACTTCGCATGCCGGAAGTCCGCCTGTCCATCTTCTCTAGATTCCTGAAGGCTCTGCCGGCAGCCTTTGGCATCCTTGAGCCTCCGACCCTTGCCAGCAGCCGCTTCCGAAGTGCCCAGAGGATGCTGACAGGGCGCTGCTTATTCTGCAACTGTGCCAACCCCATCGCCGAGGCAGCCCCCGCACTAGCCATTAAATTATTAGTGGGGTGTATCCTGGCAGTGCAGCCACACCAATCCCACCAGACAAGCCATTGAAAATGATCCCTTGCGTCCCTTGGAAACTACGGTGCTAGACATCAGCTCGTAAACTACCAGCCTACAAGACCACCTGTGCATTGCACAAGAGACCCACAAAAGCTGAAAAGGCCTGGTCAAACAGCTGGGAAACACCATCCCGCCGCCCCCGCCCCCCGCCCCGGACCACCCAAGTAACCAACAAGAATTGCGACTGCAGCACCTCAGCGCGAGGGGGAAGGGCTGGCGCTTGATTGCTAAGTTCAAAACCCGAAACCATCGATTTCAAGTCAATACCCAAGTAACCTTCGTACGATCTCTCAACTCTACCTCAAGTATACTCCCTGCACAATCCGTGTGCCTGCAAGCACGGCAACTCCTATGCATCAAAGTCCCCCTGCGCTCTTCCGCCTGTCGACGGTCACGCGTCGCCTCGGCCTCCAATGCCTGGCTTAAGGGTAAAAATCCCCTACCCCCTAATTAACCAAAACCCCGCAAAAAATGAAAGTAATACATGTTGGTGCATGTCAAATACCTATGACTAGGAGGTGGGGTGATTTATTTTCACCAAACGGGATTGAGAGTGATCATTGCGAAAACAATATGGTGGCAGTTGCGGAGGCGTAGCTGTAATACCATAGCACCAACAGTGATCTTGCATGATCTTGCAATGTCACAGGAATGGTGCTGATGGTCCAGCTCATTCATACTTGCTTGTAGGAGCATGTGGCACAGTAAGATGATGAACATCCACAACAATCTCTTAGATGCATCGTTGTTTGGCGGCCGGGATTTCGCTTCTTCGTACCCAAGAGGGGCTGATGCTTTAGACAAACGAGCAAGCCTTCCATGGCCTGCCAGACCTTGCTACTTTGTTCTGAAGTACGTCGTGGTCACAGCTGTGTGCGCGTGGAGCCGAGCTTTGCCAAGGTCATCTACCTGGAGTCTATCGAATCTATCTCCGTCTGGATACAGTCACAGGTCTGAAGTCAATCTCGGACTGCGGGCGTTGTGCACCATCTACCTTAACGCTGCGTGGTTCCGGTGAAGGCTTAAGCCTCGGTGTCTTCCATCCTCGCTGAAGGGCGGGCCAGCAACTGTCTGTGCTGAGACTTTGGATCAAGGGGTGCAAAGCGGGCTGCGCTACAGGTTGGATTGGAGGGGCTCCCTCACGCAGTAGCTAAACGAAGAAGCTAAACGAAGGAGCAGGAAGCGCTGACTTGGGGTTATGTGAAGCCCCGAGACGCGGTCCCATGAATGGGCGTCTGAAAAATACTAGAGCCTGCATGTGTCTGTTTCATCCTCGGATCCCCCATATCACAGGGGGCGAACGCTGAAAGCAATAAGTCCCAAATGACCGGAAACACGAACAGCTGCCTTTGCAGTGTTTGGGCGGCCCTGTCGCTTCACGGCGGCCTCACTAGCGGCAAAGGGATTGGGCCAATGGAATGAGCAACGTCTGTCTCGCGGTGACGAAATTGGTGCAGAACACCCCCATGAAGCATGACAAAAAGGAATGTTGATCCAGTTCTGGTAGGGATGATGCTTTGGGAGTAGGCTGCTGGGAGACAATTGGAGATAGCCTGAAGTGCTTCGAAGCTTTTAAGCTGGGCTTAGCAACACCACCTGGACCTGCGCACAAATAATTCTGTCCCCAGCAACCCAGCCAAAGGCTACCCATGTCAGTGTGAGTTAGTTGCAAGCTGCAAGCTATTCATTGAGCTGAAGCAGCTCTTAGATCTGAGGGGGTATTGATTCATGATCACCTTGCGGCACAGCAATGCAACCACGCCTTGAGATCTGCAATGCGCCCATCACTCTCTGCCTTCTCACTCCTCATCTGCCAAAACAATACTGGCGTGGACAGTCCTCCCTTTAAGGACAGAATGCCGTTCAAAGTGCGTGCAAACATGAGCTGGCCTCACTTCTACGAGCTCTTGGCCTTTGCCAGTGTCTCGAGCACTGCAAAACAATCTGCTCATGTTATGGGCCGAGCTGCTCGATGCCCTGAAGCAGTTCCTTTGCCTTCTTGGCCTCAGGGAGGAGTGGCTCGAGGCCAGCAGCTCACATAGGAACATCTAATACAAAAGTATGAAAAACATCGTCCTTATGCAAAAATCCAGCGTTTAGTGATAAAGGGCCGTAATTGGGTTGTTCAATGGTTTTGTAGGTGTCTGTAGAACGGCCATTTTTTCATTTGAACTGGGTTCACAGGCCTGGAACACACTCTATCAATCCGATGCTAACCATGTATTGTGACACTATGTACACCATTGACACTTGAAGGGCATTGATTTGCCCTCTCTCTCCCAAGCCAAATCCCACTACATCCTGAAGTCCAACCCCCTAAGAACATGTCAGATCAGACCCAGAAGATCCCCACTCTTTGAAGGTCGATTTGTGCTCCCTTAGCACACAAGAAATGGCTGGATAATCATGAGAAATTTAGCCAGCCCAAAGCCGCACCCTGAACCCAACAAAATGTCGGCGAAATGTTGGGATTCGGGGCTGAGCGTAGTTGCCCAATAAAATGTTCGCGAAAAGGCGTTTACAGCAAGTGTCCCAAGCCCAACCGCCTCGTCTTTGGCAAGCTGCCTCCACTTCGCAAGGGCAAGGACATCCTAGCAAGGTTGCCATGCCTAACATGAGGCTCCACTCTGAGCTGATCTTGCTTGGACTCTCCAGCCTGCACTAATGCCGCGGAAGAATCTTTTTTTTTTTGTGACCCAAATCCCCGTCAAGATGGAGCAGCAAACGGTTGCACTCAAGCTGGGACCGTGTAGTGATGGTTGTCTCATGTCCAGGTAATCCTAGTACTGCATACACGTGCGGATGGAAGTCCTCTTCAGCGCATCCCAACTCGTGCGAGATCTTGGATGCTTCCTCCTCACCTGAGCTGATGCTCGGGTACGGCAAGAGCAAATGGAGCGCTTGTAGGCTCATGCACTCATACTAGGATTGTGGAATACTTCATCATCTAAAACTGGGAGCTTACACCGTGCTTGCGCGCCAGCAGTTTGCTCAAAAGAACCTTTCGTGGAGGCTCGTAACACCGAAAAAACTCATATGGCTGATATAGCGCTAAAACATACATGCCCCAACAGGCCAGCAACCATCCACTTCTTGAGCGTCGGAGCCAGAGCGGGCCAAAAGCTTTCAAAATCTACACGGCTACACGCGCTTTTGAGGCATGCTTTTGCATTTTAGCTGTTGAGGAAATGGCTAGCATCGTGAACCAATGTAACAGCAACATTGGACACTAGACATAGTGAGATTCCACACGCAAATCAAGACCATCAAAACGCAGGAAACCGCCCAGTGAAAGCATAGTACAGTAAGCAGGACCACAGGGGTGCCCCTGTAATAGGGCCATTGCGGAACAGGGGTACAAAGGGGCCCACTGTAATGTCTAACGTCTTCAGCGGTTGCCGCGCTGAAAGTCAGGGGTAGTCACGATCTTGGGAAGTCCTTGTTGAGCCATACTTCGGTAATCAAACCCTTGCGCCGCCGTGCTTGGAGGGAGCTCGGGCGGGCCTGCCTTTTGGCAAGATAAGTCATACTTAGTCTTCCTCGGTATAAAACGTGGGCAAGGGTTTTCGGACAATCCGATTGAGTAATAAGTTTGGCCGGCTGATGCACAGGCAGAGCAACCTACCAGCACATGTAGCAATACGGTCTATGCAGGACCCCCCCCCCTCGCTTTAAGTGTGGCCCGGCATAAATGGCAAGGTGTTGGAGCGATGCGACGCGACAGCCCTATGTGCATCCCTGGTGCGATCTGCGACCTTTTGCCTGGCACAAGGCTAGAAGGAACCAGCAAGCTTCGTATTTGATCAGTGCTATATGACGACTATGAAATTCCAGACTGAAAACAGTTATCAGCGGTGAAAGGCGCATGGCAGTTGAAAGCCCGCGCACACGGGCTTCTCAACCATGCGCAGCCCTGTAGGATGCAGTAGGCGAGTAGCTGTGGGAGGGCTGTTCTGAGAAAGGCTTGGAGAGGATAAAAGGAAACGGCGGAAGCAAATCGTGCATCATCGGCCAAGCCTTCTGCAACTCTGTGAAGAATTGATTATGAGTCGGGCGAGGGAGCTCTATCACCTTAAAAGTCCTGGTGCTTTGACCTGCGAATCCACGATCCTTTCGAGATTTGAACAAAGCTTCTCCTTGTTAAGAAGCCCAACCTGCGCTGAGCAATGCATGGCAAATTGGCCATCTCTGTACGTAGTACTATGCAGATGGAGGGGGTTGGGAATGTGCACTGTGACGAAAGCAAGGCGATTCAGGAAGCATAACGTAATTCAGCCTCCTGCACATGCACATCCCGGAAATAGCCTGAGATCTCTCCGACGCGCCCTCGAAGCTGCCAAGCTTCGGTGTGAGCTCCTCTGAATGCGACTGTGGATTTCAAGAAAGGCGTTGACTGGCATCTGCAATGCCTATGTGAGCCTACGTGTGAAAAGTTGCGGGAACTATCAGCATACATTGCACAACCAAAACTTACCCTCAGCAAAGCTTCTTCCGAGTATCACACTCAGCGGGAAGTATAGAGAACAAGCTGAATCAGTGCTGACAGCCACCCTCTGCAATTTACCACTAGGTTTGGGTCATCGTTCAGATTCAAGACCTTGGCCCCTGCCTCAATGATAAAACCATCTGCCCAGCAGAAGATCTACCCATCCAAATTTCCCACTTCCTCAGCGATTCCCACTGAAGCCCCAAAGAAGTCGCTCATACCGCAGTTTGATCTCAAAAGTGGGAACATTGTAACTATTCGGCAGAAATGGTGTGGACGTCTTTGAGCGTTCGGGTCCTGAGGTCTCGGGAGAGAGCCTCGTACTCCTCCCTGAGGCTCCGTAACTCATTCCTGAGCAAGTTGGCCATGTCGCGGCCACGTAGGGTTTTGCATTGATCCGGGAAGCTCCATTCTACGACCCCCTCCCTGGAGCACGAGGTGTGTGAGTCAGAGCAACATCAAAGCCTGAGCCCAACATCGACGTAGTTTGCATGCCACCATCTTTCGTCCGAAGACCTGGAAGTTTGTGCTGCTTTAGTATCTACCGTACAGGGGCAGTCTGTAGCACTGAAGTCGCTGGGTATACTTCACATGGAGGACATCCCGCCAAGTCAGGCCAATCACAGCCCCTCCAGCAGGCATGAAGATGCACTGCATCTTCATACCTCCTGACCAGGATCCGTTTGCAGGTTCGGGTTGCTCATCTTAGGAGCAGGGTTGAGGGGGTTTAGGCTTTAACATTTAGGGGTCTAGGGTCTGCCTAGACTTCGGAGTTCAGGGAATGAATAGGCTCAGGGGCTTAGCGTTTGGTATCTTTGGGGTGGCCGTTGCGGATGCATGACATCGGTAGTGGAGGAACACCCTCGAATGACAATGCCCTGTAGGAATGCGATGGTAGCCCTTCCCAGGAATCTAGTTTCTTGAGGCACTGCTGGGGGTGTGACTGGTGCTCAAGGGGGAGTGGGCTAGGGAATGTAGAAGTACTGGATCACTACCCGTTACAGAAACAGTTACCATGATGGCTGATAGGATTTTGTTACAGCCCTTGGCTAAACGCCTTTAGGGACAGCTACTGTGAAGGCGAATGATTCCAAGTATATACGAATTGTGTGAGGAAGGAGCGGCGGCATGACGGCTTGTTCCTTGCAGAATCTTGATTCGAGCTCATGTCCTAGCAGTCACAGAAGGTTTAATTTGTTTCTGTCTGTTCCTGCAGCCCTCCTTCAGCCATCCCACATGCAAGATCCAAGCTTCCGGACGACGCCGATATCCTCCAACTCAATGGGAGTCTGCCTACACAACGCGTTGTCTACGCCATCGTGTAGTTTTGGACATGGAACGCTCGTCGAGCAACTGGTAGGGGCTTGGCAGCACAACTGTCTTCCTGCCATCCTGAGAGAGAAGCATTAAAGTCTACGTTGTTTATTGCTCGTCCGACGTGAGAACGTGAGACCATGCTCTCTCAGCAAGCCAGCCTGGTTTAGGGGGTCTACAGTCTACATGAACTCCCCTACGGTAAGCAACCCTGATGGCAATGCCTGGCAGCAACTTTTGCTGAAGATGCCATGTGCTGCCAGCAGGGAAGACCCGTCGTGGGGTCAAACTTCGGGGCTTCCTGCTTAGAGATTTGGGGCTTGTGAGTCGGGAGCCTCCTGCTTGCAAGCTTGCCATATAGCTTTTCTAGTCGAGAGGGTTCACTCATCAGCCGTCAGCATGACAGACTCTAGAGTAGTTGCTGCACGCACTGAGTCGGTTGTAGACTGGGAGCTGGCCATACTCTCAAGTACGCGTCATCTTTCTCCCATGTCCCTGGGCTGCTGCACTTCACGTCAGCTTGGCAGCAAGACTTGCCAAAACTGTTTAGCTGCCTCTTACTGCATGATGTTCAGCGCAAGCTCAGAAGAGTGTTTGAGCAATGAATCGAGCCGGGCGTCACAAGCTTTGGAAAAAAGAAGAACACAAGGGACAGGGACATACACTAGTAGTAGGGATGCTAGCCATAAATGCCAATAAGACTTTCCGACAGCACACTCGGCCTAATGAGCTCTCCCAGTATAAGACCGGTCATTGCTCCTGTGCCAAGGAGGCCGGCAAAGAAAGATGTCTGCCACCTTAATTACGACCCATCATAGATCCTGTCAGAAATACACCATCAAACCCCAGACCTCGATTTCTGAGGCTGTCTAGAAAATCAACAAGGGTTTCTGCATCAAAGATCCTTAAAGCATTCTTGTAGATGATTCCGAATGATTCTGGGAAGTCCTGTTAGTGCCATACCTGCGCTGGCTTGCTGAAACTACCTTAAGGTGCAGCCGTGAGCTCAATGGGAAAAGTCCTAAGCTGAGAATCCAGCGTGCTGCCATGCGCCGCGAGGGTGCAGTACGGTCCAGCTCCTCGGGTCTCACTTCATTCTACAGTACAGAAAGATACAGAAAGGTACAAAAGCTATAAACAATCAATCAGTTCAGATAAGATAATGTAAGTGAGCTGCGGACGTTCTCATCTTCCTTGCTCCCCTATCATTCTACTGTCCAAGTCAACTTTCAGTACAGCTGCTGTCGGAGCACGCTTGACAGAAATCCCGTCAGGGCAACGAGAAAACGCCCAGGTATCAGATGTGGCGCACAGCCCTTGTAACGCAAACATGAACAAGACCAGCCACTTCCTACACTCCTACACCACGCACGATCAGTGATTAGTCAGTGTACGGCGCAGAGGTGCAAAGTGTACAGTTGATGGACATGCAATTGCAACAGTGCGGGGTGCATGTAAGCTACAGTGTCCTGAGGTACAGAGAAACTTCCTCTTCGAAGTACAACCGTGGTCTCAATGCTACCTATTCGAACCTAGCAGTATTAGTTTCCTTCTCTCGGCAGTTGGACGTACAAAAGCCCCAACTGTGTCTACCTTCAATTCCTTATAGCTAGTCACGACCTCAACAGATCTGGTCGTGCTGTAGAATGGCTTGGCTAATTAGTGGATAGCTGAGTTCTTATCCGCTTGGAAATCTTCCAATCAAGAAGCAGATTTGCTTGGCATGGGTCAGCAGGTAGGTTATTGTGCGACTTCGATGCCGGGCATATGCAGGATATTGATGTGGCGACGGTGAGCCCCAAAGCCCCAAGACTTCCGAAAGGGCCCAAGTCACAGGCCCTCCTCTAATTTGCACAGGGGGCATTGGATCGCAATGGATTACGGATCTGTTGACGAAGTGGTGCTGGGTACGTTTGGGAAGCAAGACCTAGCCAAAACATTCATGGGTAAACCACGCACTTCGTTTTTCCGCCGGGTGCAGTCACCCATCTGGGATGCAGCGCATCCGAACAAGAATGATGCCAGAAAAACTCACTAGCTTGCAAAGGTCACGCTAACCAATGCAACGCTCCCTTAGCAACCTCTAAGTCATTTTTGTTTCAAGGACTTATGG